TCCTAGAAAGCTGCCTAACTTTATCTAGTGAAGTTAAATAGAATGTTCCCTTCGGACGGAAAAAAAGTTCCTCGAATGTTCCCTTCGGACGGAAAAAAAGTTCCTCGAATGTTCCCTTCGGACGGAAAAAAAGTTCCTCGAATGTTCCCTTCGGACGGAGCTCCCTTCGTAAGGAACACTTTCTGTTAGTTACCTTTCCCTTTGAAACGAAGTCTCGGTTTTTCAACCATTTTTCTTGGTGGCATTTTTTGTTTTCTTCTTCCAACACTATTTATTGCCAACACACCGTTGTCTCTATAAGGAACACGTTTTCGGAATTTTAAATTTGTGGCAAAATGTTGAGAAGGTCCAAAGCCAACAACACTTCCTTTAATTAACGGAGAGTGATTATTATGGTAGACATTGGCTGTAGACTGATTGAATAGTGTAAAAATGGAGATGATTAATAGAATGAATAAAAATCGAAATTTTGTTGGCATTATGTTTAATTTTTTATTTTTCTGAATAAAATTATTTTAAAATTTTACTTAATATGTAAAATTTCAATTAATTTTTTTATTAACTTTTTCTTAATTAACTGTAATTTTAAGTTGATTTTCAAGATATTTGTAATGTATTTTTGAATAGGGAGAAAATAAATTCCCTAAACATTTTCTTTTTGGCATTTTACTGTGAAACTTCAGCTAAATAACTACTTAAAGTCTAAACCGATTAAAACTATTTTGGTATCATTCGACAAAGAATTAAATTTGCTACAAAAGCGTGTTAAATCAGAAATTAATGATTTTTAATCAGAAATTTTATGATCAAGCTACTTTAAGTTGTGGCCAAAATACTTGCAATTTTAGGCAATATTGTCAGTTTTTCGATCATAACTTTTGTTGTTATCTATCAAAAATTTTGATTTTATTTGATTCTATGGCAAATTTAATTCTCTATCTAATGATACCAAAATCACTTAAATCAGTTGGGAAGATTAGGAGCCTGAAAATTCCGTTGGTCGGTTAAAAATTAACGATGAAACAATTAATATTATAGAAAACTTAAATTTGCATAATATGTATTAATTAAATTAATTTCTTTTATCAACTTTTAATTTAAAACTTATCATTAAATTATTGGGATCAGTTCTTATATTTTTGAATGGGGAGAATAAACTTCCTAAATAATGTTCTAAGATTCAATTCTTTTGCGAAGAAAATGACATTGACATATTATCAGTTTTTCGATCACAACTTTTTTTGTCGTCCATCTAAAATTTTAATTTTTCCCGGATTTATAGCAAATTTAATTCTCTATCGAATGATACCAAAACCAGTGTGGTCGGTTAAAAAGCTCAAGAGTTATAGAGACTGAACCACCAATGGTCTTTATCTATACAAAAGAGAGGTCATTTTATAAAAAATTTTCTGAAAAAAATTTTTTTCTTTAAAAAAATATTGTGAGAATAAAACAAAAATGACCATTAAATCCTCCAAAAATATATTTATTTTTAGTCAGGAGTTGTTATACAAACAAATTCGGGAAATAAATATGCGCAGAGGACAACAAGTATTGTTTGATTGTCCATTTAAAAGGAGGGGGGATATCTCAAGTGTTTTGGTGGAGAATACAAAAGAGGAGTTTTTAAGTTGACTTTAAGCTAAAAATAATTATTCCAAAAAAAATGTTTTTAAAAATTGAAAAAAAATATATTAAGTAAATTTTTATTGTGCTTTATGTAGTTAAGCATGGGGTGTGGTAAGAGATTGGATGTAATGCTTAAGGATGGGGTGTGCTTAAGGATGGGGGAATATTCTTTTTATCTTCCATAGTAGTTTAAACTCAAAATCGGAACAAATAAAATTACCAATTATTTGGTTGACCCAACCAATGAAAATTTATTTGTTTTATCTTCACTGAACAGATAAAATAGATACCAGAACAAATAAAATAACAAATAATTAGTAAACCCTAATTGGAAAATCAGAATAAATCAGAATAACCAATTAATTGGCAACCCTAAAACAAATAAAATTTATTTGGTTTGCGTTCAATGATCAAATAATTGGGAAACCAGAACAAATGGAGACAACCAATGAAAATTTATTTGGTTTCCCTTTAACAATTAACCTCTTAGATTATATTTAAATTCACTTAATATATAAAATTTCAATTAATTTCTTAATTAGATTTTACATTGCATTTGTTCATTACTTGTTTCCGTTTGAATTTTTTTTCGTAATTTTTGAATGGGGAGAAGTTACTTCCCAAATAATTTACCCCAACCATTGAAAAATAAATAATTAGTAAACCAGAACAAATAAAATAACAAATAATTGCTTTCCCCTAAATTAGAATAGACCAAATAAAAACAATGAAAATTTATTTGTTTTTCATTTAACAATTAATTGGTCAGAAAAAATATTTTTTTGAACAAATACCTAATGTAAATAAACACAAAACTGACCATAACAACCAAAAAAGAATTTCAAGTATCTCTCAAAAATATGCTAAAAAATTCAACAGCTCGCCGCTTTTGTACCAAACAAAAAAGTACTTGAAAGAAATATATACTGGAAATTATATTTTTATATTTACTTGAGTAATCCAGAATTTTTTAAGGCTTGTAAGTAATATTTTAAAAAAAATTTTTTGTTTGCGAACAATTTTCGTGATAAATTGATGGAAGATTAGGCTCCCTGAAATAGAAATCGGTTGGAATTCCGATTTCCGACAGTTACGAATTCCAGCACACTTGTCATTTCCGACGTAGTCTTATTTTAAAAGACCTTATTCTGTTAACCTCAGTTTTTGTATTTTTTTACTCCGAGCTTTCAAATTATTAGCAAAGGCCATTGACGATCAAATTGAATATAACGATAAACATAAAAGCTTAGACAATTATTTAGAGAGCAATTATTTCTCTCTATCCAAAAATATACGTATCTACCAATACACGCCGCGACGTCGTTAAATAATTTGTAAAAGTTGATAAATTGAATTAATTCAATATTTGCATATTAAGTAAATTTGAAATAATTATATATTTACTTAGTGTTAATTTAAAAAACTTGAGACTTGACGGAAGGCGGAGCAACTTTTGTGTGTAAATTGTTGAAAAATTGGGTTCCCTAAAGCAAAAGTCGGTTGAAATTCCGATTCAGCCATCGACAAGAATATAATAAAAATATGCCCTGTTGCATTTTAAAAAAAAATGACGGACGACAACTGATAATCTTTCAACACATAGAAGGTTTGGACAATTATTTAGAGAGTATTTATGTCTCTCTATTCAAAAATATAACCTACAAAAAAAACCTACAAATCCATTTCACATTTTATGTTAATGATGATAAATAGAATTAATTGAATTTTTTTATATTAAATAAACTTTATAAAAATAAAGAATTATTTCGCGCACAAAATAAATTCCTTGTTAACTCATTGTCAGAAATCCCGATTCCGAGAAAAATCAGCAATTTTGATGCAGAAAAGACCAGAATTTTTGATTCCAAAAATCAGAATTTCTGAGTAGAAATGATTAGATTGCTGATTGTAAAAAGACAAACACTTATTTAGAGAGTACATTCTTCTCCCTATCCAAAAATATACGAATCTGCAGAAGTCTTTGATCAATCCATAGTTACTTTATATGAAAGTGTTAATAAATTGAATTAATTGAATTTTTGTATATTAAGTAATTTTAAAATAATTTACATACGCAATACACTTTTATTCCAAAAAACTTTAGACTTGACGGAAAACAAGGTCTACCCCATTTGTATAATATTTAGGTTTTTTGGGATAGCTGTTTTAAATAAAAAAAATTTATTTTACTACAAGAATCACTTAAAAACTTTAATAGGAAAATCAAAGAAAAATATTTTTAAATATCAGGCACTCCAGTTAAAAATCATTTGCAGCACTTCCGACAAAAATTCTGAAAAGTTTGGAATGACAAGGGGAATGATTTCCTACATTTTTCCCTAATTCTAGGACCTGAACCGATATTTAATGATTTCCTACATTTTTCCCTAATTCTAGGACCTGAACCGATATTTACTGTTATCCAGATCCGAAACTGATAATCTCCCACAACAATTTGAAATAATTATTTAGAGAGCAAATTCCTCTCTAGCCAAAAATATATGATAAAAAATCCCAGAAAAGCCAGTTAGAATCTCTTTTATTCTTTTCGACCCTCATAGAGCACTGATAATCCCGAATGAAGGAAACTTCCACAAGAACTCGAAAGTTGAAATAATTTTAAAAAGGGTAAGGTCTACGGATACTGATCCGAAAATCTAACTGGGTATCAGAAAATTGCCAACATATTAGAGAGTAATATTTCTCTCTATTCAAAAATAAAGCTTTTACAGTTTGAATACTGGCCGTCATAATTTTATGTAAATGTTAATAAATAGAAGTAATTAAATTTTTTCATATTAAGCAAATTTGAATAGGGACAGATGTTTTAATTGATGAAAAAAGAAAATTTATTTTATTTCAAAAAGCTCTTAAAGACATTAATTAATAAAAAAATTAAAAAGTATTTTTTAAATATCAGGCACTCCAGCAAACAAATCACTGTGAAAATAAAAAAGTCTATCCACGTCGATTTTGAACGTGCCATCCTTTGCCCATAAAGAGCCCCAGCTGTTTACTGCAAAATTAAAGTTGAATTTAATTTGTTTGGTTTGCGCCGAAATGACTCCAAATTTTCTGTGACTAGAAAAATGAGATGGGATGATTTTAGTGGTCATTTAGGCGCAGAACTTCTGGCGTTAAATAACTTTTAATTAAATTTGAAAAATGCATAAAAGCGTTGAGGAAGGTCCTAAATTTCCAAAATTTTGTAGAGATACTATTCTATATGTCCTTCAATTATTCTCAAAATTTCAGATTTTTAGGTTCAATATACCCAAAGTTATGGGTAAGAATGTATGGGTATGTCGTATTTTAGAGTTATGTCAATTTTGAATATTTTGTGTGATTTTCTGATTTTTTCAGAACTTTTTTCATAATTTCTGATTTAATTCTGATTTTTTAGAGTTTTTCAGGTTCTCCCAGTCAATCAAAATTCTGATTTTCAAAAATTTATAATTACCGGCAATTAAATAGTTTTGCACCCCCACACTGTTCGGTCTCCTCTGCCGTCCCCAACCTATTATTTTTGCACAGTGGTCGTATACATGTTGTTCCCCTGGTTGTAAATCAAAGTTGTAGACACCTGAGAATATTTTTAAAATTATTTTAAATTTTTTTAAATTTTTTAATTAAATAGACCATCGTGGTAGTGCATAAAGCTCTCAAAAACGCTAAAGCAAAGCATCACCTTAATATTTTTAAAAAATTTTTATTCATAATTTTATTTATCTTTTAATCTTATCTTAACTTAGATTAATTTAATAATTTTTACTAGCTACTTTTTTAAAAAAAAATTTTTTAATTTTGACGCCAATATTTTTCTGCGCCGAAATGTCTCGTAAAATTAAGGAAAGTAGCGACAGCTGCTTTTTTCGGCGCAGATTAAATTTGGCGGCAAATAAAAAATAATTATTTTTTTTAAAAAAATAGACTTAAATTCAAATCCATTTTTAAATTTGAGCTTTTAGAATTTAAAATAAGTATTCAAAAAAAAAATTATTCTTACAGGTCCATGTGTCATTATTTCTCGTTTAAGCAGTTCAACAATTCCTCCAATTCTCCCATTAAATTCCCCAGTTTCATTCATTTTTAGTCTGCTAGTTAAAGGCTTAGGGAACTGATTAACAGAATCGTCTTCTTCCAAACTTCCAATTTTGTAGACATATTTGGCTGAAAATTTTGGGGAAAATTCTTTGAAAAGGCTAGGTTAATTAGAGGTAGATGCTTGTCAGCTCCCCTATTTTTGGCTATAATTCTTGCATAAACCAGGCTAGAAATCAAATCTCCCGTCCGGTCTCGAGTATGTAACCTCTTCGAATGAACATTTTATCACAAGTATCACTCCAATGGTCTCAAATTTTTATCGTCAATGCGACAATTTTGAAAAGAAAAATTTCGGTACCGGATCCGGATATTTGAAATTTTCGGTTCCAACATCGGATCCAGATATGCTAAAATTTTCAATTATCCGACAATTTTATTCCTAACTAAAATTTGGTCTAGATAATTATTTAGGGGTCAGCGCTAACCCCCGACCCAAAAATTATTCGTGAAATTATATAATCGATATACTACAAGGAATATTTTAGTAACTTAAATACAAAAATATTTGAAATAATTTATATGAAGTAAAAATTAAAAAAAAAATTTTTATTTCCGTTACCTTTATAATTAGTAGCCTGTAAATATTCATCCGCACACTTTGTTTTGCCCAAAGAACATGATCCTAAGCCTTGGGGATTTTGAAATTCTGTAGGTGGACAGGGGGCTCCACAATCTCTGGCTATTGTATAAGGGAAGCAACGATCATTAACTAATCCTTCCAAATGCCAGTAAAGAAAGGGAAAGAAGGAATTTGGGGCTCCTGTACAGCTGAAAAATTAAATTATGTTTTAATATCTCATAGTCTTAAATTTTGCCGTTGGTACAGTAAAGAACCATTTATGCATTATTTATGTACCCTAGCTATGTTCCATACGTACCTTCCGTTCAGAGATGTACATACATATGTTCCACTCGGACGGTATGTTCTCTTCACAAGGGTGCATGTTCCCCTCGGAGGGACATGTTCCCTTCTGAGATGTATGTTCCACTCGGACGGGTGTGTTTTCTTCACAAGGGTGCATGTTCCCCTCGGAGGGTGTGTTCCTTTCTGAGATGTATGTTCCCTTAGGTCGGGCATGTTCCTTTCACAAGTGGATGTACCGTTCGGAGGGTATGTTCCCTTCAGAGAGGTAGCTCCTCTTCACAAAGTCTACAGAGGAGTCTGTTCCATTCCTACGGAATGTTCCCTAAACAAAAAATTCGCTAACCCTCCACAATAATCACAGCACTCTACTAATTGTTGCGCCGAAATGCCACTTCTTTCCCTCCCTTCAGACGCAATACAAATTCTATCAGAAATTACAGATATGGCAGCAACAGCCTTTAAATTTGAATAAAAATCCAACAAATTTCCCATAGTTTACCCAACAAGACCCACAACCGCCTTGGTCTCTAACTCGAAGTATTGACTGCGCACAATCACCCCATCGTTGGGCAGCGTTGAAACGTTCGGGGATGGGTCTTAATTGTTGCTCGAGGTTTGTTAGGTGCTCGGTATAGTGTTGCTTGAAGACCTGTATTTTTGAAATGAACACAAAAAATATACGAAATACCGTATCCAAATAGTCTTCAAGAAATTTTAGCCTTGAAGGATCCATCATGTATGTAGAATTGAGAGGATCAAAGCTATCAGTAAAATTGATCATCTCATTTAATGATTTGATACTGAAACATAATTTTGTAATTTTTAGAGAGGTATGTTCCTTTCGGAGTGTATGTTCCTTTCGGACGGGTATTGCAAAGTTTTGGTTCCCTTCGGAGGGTATGTTTCCTTCGGAGGGTATGTTCCCTTCGGAGGGGTATGTTCCCTTCGGAGGGGTATGTTCCCTCGGAAGGGTATGTTCCCTTCGAAGGGGTATGTTCCCTTCGGAAGGGTATGTTACCTTCGGAGGGGTTGTTCCCTTCGGAAGGGTATGTTTTCTTCGGAAGGGTATGTTTTCTTCGGAAGGGTATGTTCCCTTCGGAGGGGTTGTTCCCTTCGGAAGGGTATGTTTTCTTCGGAAGGGTATGTTTTCTTCGGAAGGGTATGTTCCCTTCGGAGGGGTATGTTCCCTTCGGAGGGGTATGTTCCCTTCGAAGGGTATGTTACCTTCGGAGGGGTTGTTCCCTTCGGAAGGGTATGTTTTCTTCGGAAGGGTATGTTTTCTTCGGAAGGGTATGTTCCCTTCGAAGGGGTATGTTCCCTTCGGAAGGGTATGTTACCTTCGGAGGGGTTGTTCCCTTCGGAAGGGTATGTTTTCTTCGGAAGGGTATGTTTTCTTCGGAAGGGTATGTTCCCTTCGGAGGGGTTGTTCCCTTCGGAAGGGTATGTTTTCTTCGGAAGGGTATGTTTTCTTCGGAAGGGTATGTTCCCTTCGGAGGGGTATGTTCCCTTCGGAGGGGTATGTTCCCTTCGAAGGGTATGTTACCTTCGGAGGGGTTGTTCCCTTCGGAAGGGTATGTTTTCTTCGGAAGGGTATGTTTTCTTCGGAAGGGTATGTTCCTTTCGGAGGGGTATGTTCCCTTCGGAGGGGTATGTTCCCTTCGAAGGGGTATGTTCCCTTCGGAGGAGTTATGTAACTTACCCAATAGTATATTTATTCAATCTTGCACTCCACGTCGAATTCGGATTCATATTAACATTTTGTACAATTAATTGAGCTCTTTCTAATTCATTATTAGCTTTCCATAATCTTTTAAATCCTCTCCAATTGGACAGAACACTTGTTTTATTAGTTAAGGTTGGGCGGTTTGTTGCAGATGACTCTTTAAAAGACGGTGAAATTGTGGGTCTTTTCGTTGATTTCTTTAAAAATGATTTTTTAAATAGTTAAGGGCCTTAAATAATTTGAAAATATTTTTTGTGAAATATTCTAATTGTAAGGACTTTAATTATTAATTTTAAAAATACAGTTTATAATGCGCCCAATTTTCCGCGCCGAAATGGCACCTAAATTTTACCCTAGAAAATGCTGCAATTAAACAGACTGAAGTGACTATTTCGGCGCAGAAGTGTTTCGGCGCCAATTAATTTTTTAGCTAATTAAAATTAATTTTTTTTATTTCACGAAATTTCGCATTATAACGGTCACGAAATTTCGTGATTTAAAAATCAAAAAATTAAAAAAATTTAAAATTGCAATTTAACTTGCCTGTTTTCCCCCAATCACCAACAATTCTCCCTCTCCACTGCCTCCAAATAATTTATAAAAAATTAATCCAAACAATAAAACAAAAATAACAAAGGAGCACAGGGCCCCAACACTCAAAAATAAATTTTTCGCAGAATTCATAAAAAATTTTCGTTCGAAACGTGTTGGGGTTGAACTAACAATTGCTGGGCTAGCATTGTGGCTATCTCTGCTGCAATTAGAGAACTTCAGTTTGCTTTGATTTTAAAGGGGGGCTTGAGGGGGAAATTATTTTTTGATCTAGAAAGAAGTGTTATTCTGACTTGGAAAGGTTGGGGAATTTTAAACTAAATTGCCTTTAATGTTTAGTGGTCATGATTCACGAGGCTTACTAAACTATAACTGTTGTGTTTTGGTGAAGGAAACTTTCTAACGATAGATGCTAGCTTGAGTTAATAATCTCACTATAGAAAATCCACTAAGGATCAAAACCCCCAGGACAATCAGCCCATGAGGATTAAAAATTTGCATATAATAATGAGTTGTATCTTAAATAGAGGGGCATCAACTCGCCCATATGGTCACCAATTAACTTTCAAGAAATCGTATCTTAACTAGAGTTGTATCTAAAATTAGGAGACATTAAGATGAGGGTTGCCTGCATTTCGATGTTCTCGAATTTCGAAACTTCGAGAATATTTCGAAATTTCGTCTATTTTTGCTTAGCTAATCTCTAAAAACAATTTAAAGCTCTTTAAGCTTAAAAATCAGCAAAAATGATGAATAACTTTGATTTAAAGTAGGCTTATTATTTTACTTTTACCGATCATTTTACCTTTGACATGCCTTGACAGCTTAAAAATATTATCTAAAAAAGCCCAAGTCACTCAATCAATGCTTATATCCCTCATTTTTATGTTTTAAAGGGCAAAAGGGTTTGATGGATGGAGTGAAATACGAAACCGTGTTCTAATATATATTTTATATTGAGCAAAATAATAAGTAAAAATATTAGAAAAATTTTTTTGAAAATTTTAGTAAGGCTGAAAAATCGAAATAAATTATCAGGGTAACCCTGCTCTTTTGAACATAACTTTTGATGTGATTGTGGGATCGCTTAGGTCTCTTCAGCAAAAAGAATCCTCATAATGTGAGCTTTCGAATGATACCAGAATCATTCATAAAGGTAAAAAAATAAAAAAGTTATGAACCAAAAACTAATCATTGTCAACTCTTATCAGGGTAACACTGTTCTTTTGAGTATAACTTTTGAGGAAATAAAAGGAGCGGCCCGATTTCTAGAATAAAAACAATCGCCATATCGAGAGCTTTCGATTGCTACAGGAATCTTTCATAGCGGTCGAAAAATAAAAAAGTTATGAACCAAATTCTAAACACGGTCAGCATCTTTGAGAGAATATAATCAAGCAAATTCGACGACAACTTTTAGTAAAATAGTCAAATCTCTTATTTTTATTATTAAAATATTCCCCACATCGATAGCTTTCGAATGATATATCACTCGCCCCGAAAGCTTCACAAATAAAAAAGTTGTGCTTAAAAAACGAACTTCAAGAAAAACGCCGTTTATTTAAATTTTCAAATTTCCGCCTTTTTTTAACTGTTTTTTGTCTAATTCTCTAACACTCTCTCTTTTATTAATACACTCTCAATTTTCTGTGTATCTTTTCTTTTTCTTCATCATTCTCTCTCGTCTTTTTCCTTTTTAATTTACATCTTATACTTTATTTCACCAATAACATATTTTGCCAGATAGGCTAAAAACTCGCATTTTGTCACTAAGACTGTGGCAAAATGCGATATTTTACTTTTATTGGCAAAATGTGGTATTGGTGAAATATGAATTCATTGTTATCTCTTTATTATTTTATTTTTTGCAGTTTTTTGTTGTTTTTTATTCAAATTTTCTTCAAATTTTCTTCAATTTCTTCGTTTTTTTCAGTTTTTTCAGTCAATTTTTCAATTTTGCATTTATAATGATGTTTAATCGTCTTCAACTTGCCTCACGTTCTTTCGCAACCGCTTCCACTATCAAAAATGTTACAATTATAGGGAGTGGTCTTATGGGATCGGGAATTGCTCAGGTTATTTTTTAATGTTTTTTTGAGGTTCTCTTAGTTTGATTTTTAATTTAATGAACCGCATTTGAACCTGAAACCCTTGGAAATCTTTATAAAATTTGGTTAAGTGGTTCCGTCGCAGGTTTTGATTTTTTAATGGTCGATGGTTCGAACCCTTTTGGTCCCTATTTTTTGTTCTCCGTGAGGAAGTCTAAGTCTACAGGTCCTAAATCGAGCTGATCTAGAATAATGCGAGCCGACCGACTTCCAACTTGAACCCAAAAAGTTTTTTAAAAATTTCAGGTCAGCGCTCAGGCAAACATGAACGTTACTTTAGTCGACCAAACTCAAGCAATATTGGACAAATCAATTAAAGGAATAGAATCTAGTGTAAAAAGGGTTGCCAAGAAGCAGTATGAAAGTGACGAAAAGGTTGGGGAATTTTTATTTTAAAAATTGGAAAATTAATTGGCCCTGTTCTAGTTTAGTTTATGGGTCCAATGAAGCTTTTCCAGTCCATTAAAAAATTATATGCCCCCAAACATTGGACAATTGGGATAATACGAGGCTGGTCCTCCCCCTTTTTCTGCTTCCCTGACCATTTTGAGCTTTTTTGCTTCGACCCAGCTCGAAGCGCTTTTTCGCATGAATATAATTTGCCATAGAAAATGAAAAAAATAAAACAAAAAGGAGGGGGACCAGCCTTGATATTACCACCGTTGGATTCGTAGACCTGCATTGGACCCCAAATCTCTTATTTGCCCTCATAATTTTTCATTGGACTCATAAACTAGACTAAAGCCCATTTATTTCAGCAACAAAAAAATTTAATTGACAAAGTTTTAAAAAATATTGCGGTGTCGACAAATGTTGCCGAGGCTGTTTCTAAAGCTGATTTGGTTATTGAAGCTATTGTGGAAAATGTGGAGGTGAAACAAAATTTGCTTGATAGAGTGGAGAATGCTGTTAAGAGGTTATTTTTGCTTTTTGGGGGGAAATTTTGGGTGATTTTGGAGGCTTTTTTCGTTATTTCTTATTTTCTTTTGTCTTGATTTGCTCGGATTTAGACATATATGACTCTTGAACTCCCTTGTGGAATACGAAAAAAAATAGAGGGCACTAGAAGGGTTCGAACCATCGACCATTCAAAGCGAAAACCTAAAACGGGACCACTTAACCAAAAATTTAATTTTTTCGTATTCTGTGCTTTTTCAATTGCAATCCTCATGGGACCACTACAGATTTAGTTACTAGAGGCAAAACTAAAGAAGAAATGAAAATGGGGTCACTAACTTCCAAAATTCCCCTTTTTTAATTTTTAAAAATTCTAAAATTTTCAGTGGAACAATCTTGGCCACAAACACTTCATCTTTAAAATTGGCGGATATTGCAGCAAATTTAAAACACAAGGAACTTTTTGGTGGACTTCACTTTTTCAATCCCGTTCCTGTTATGAAATTGCTTGAGGTTTTTACTTTTTTGGTTAAGTGGTTCCGGTCCAGGTTTTTACTTTTAATGGTCGATGGTTCGAACCCTTTTGGTGCCCCCACTATTTTTCTTTGATTTTTTGTATTTTCTGGTTTCTTATCCTGGCCAGAACCTTTCAAAAAAATTTTTTAAGGTTGTAAAATTTGACCAAACTAGTGAAGACACATTTCAACGCCTTATGAAATTTGGAAAGGATATTGGAAAAGTCACCGTTGTTTGCAAGGTTTTTCAAATTTTTAATGAAAAATCAGAAAAATTATCATTTTTAGGACACTCCCGGATTTATTGTCAACCGCCTTCTTGTCCCGTACATGTTGGAAGCAATTCGAATGTTTGATAGAGGAGACGCTAGCAAAGAGGATATCGATTTGGCAATGAAGTTGGGGGCTGGTTATCCTATGGGACCGTTTCAATTGTCTGATTATGTTGGGTTGGATACAACACAATTTATTGTTAAAGGTTTATTTGTTTTTAAAAATCCGCAAGATTTTTTGCGGACAATTTTTTTGTCCGCAAAAATCTTGCGGACAAAAAAATGTCCGCAGGATTTTAGCGGATTTTTTCCGCCTCAAATTCTGTTTTAATTCAATTTTATTTTGTATAGGATGGCATGAAAAGTACCCAAATGAACCTTTATTCCAACCCATTGCAACCTTGGACAAACTTGTAGCTGAAGGCAAGTTGGGTGTTAAGAGTGGAGAAGGTTTTTACAAATACAGCAAGAAATAAGGTATTTGACAAAATACCTTATTTAATACCTTATTTAAAACCATATTACCTTATTTAAAAACCATTCCTGGCTACAAAATTCTTTCAAAAATTTTTAGAAAATTTTTTATGATTTTTGGTTAAGTGGTTCCGATCCAGGTTTTTATAAAATATTGGTCGATGGTTCGAACACTTTTGGTGCCCCATTTATTTTTTTGTTAATTTTAAAGCTATGAATGTGTTTTATTAGTAAATTAATCGATTGTTCATTTTATTTTTTAAAATTCAACTATTTATTGCCTTATAAATAAACACGATACCTTAGGCCTAGTTTTTTTGTCCGCAAATTTTTTGCGGACTTTTTCAATATTAATAACCCTGCCCTCAAAACTCATTTTTTTACTAAAATTAGTTTAATAAAACAAGACAATTATTAATAAATAAATAACAGTTCATCTTTTATTCTAGGGAGATCCGAAAAAATTTTTAAAAAAATTTGAATTTTCAAATTAAATTTTAGAATAAATAGGAAGGCCTTTTAATTTATTTTAAGCAACAAAATGATATATGGCAAAATTTTAAATTAAAAAATGGCTTATTTGACAGGCTTATTGGTACTATGATAAGGGAAGTTAGCACAGATTTTTCCATATTTTTTTGTCATTTTTTAATTTGTCCGCAAATTTTTTGCGGACTTTTAATTTTGTCCGCAAATTTTTTGCGGACATTTTTTTCCTTGTAGGTATTTAACAACCCCTCATTTTTCTGTATGGGAGGGTTAGAGGAATTAAATTCTATAAAAAAACCAACAGCTTTACCAACTAAACTTTTTAACTAAAATTTGCCATAAAATTAAAATTTAAAAAGACTTCTTAAATTAAAATTCAAAAAAATTGAAAAAAAAATTTCATGAGAAAATATAAAAATAAATAAAATTAAAATAATTTAGCTATAAGTATACTTATGTTAAAACAAAAAAAACCTGTGTTTGTAAAATTAAAACAAGAAAGAAAAGAAAAAAATAATTTTAAGTCTCCACACTTTCCTCTCTCTTCTTTCCTTCCTCTCTTCTCTCCTCTCTCATAATTCAATAAAATTTGTACTATTATTACCATGTTCACCAAAATATTTATTTGCATATTCTAAAATTGAAAAATCTGAAAGTATGTCTTGTTGTGGTGGTGGTGGTAGTGGAAGAGGTTGTCGTTGTTGTTGTGATATTTGGTGAGGAAAAGTAGAAATAAAGTTGTTGTTTTCAACAAGTGATTCTGATACATCAAAGCTGGGAAGTATTATTGGCTCGTAATTTGGTTGTTGAAATGTAGTAATTGAGGATTCTGAATGTTTTTTAATTTTAAATAAATTTTTTAAAATTTATTTAGAGTTTAAGAAAAAAAATTAATTTTTTGGTTAAGTGGTTCCGTTCCAGTTTTTCTCTTATAAAGGTCGATGGTTCGAACCCTTTTGGTATCCCTTTATTAATTTTACAAATAATTTTTTCTTTTCGTTTATTTTAATAACTCATTCCTAGCTTTAAATTTAAAAAAAATTAAATGAGACCCCAAAAGGGTTCGAACCATCGATCATTTTAAGAGAAAAACCTGGACCGGAACCACTTAACAAAAAATTTAATTTCTTTCAAAACCCCAAAAAATTAAAAAAATAAAACCTTCATTCTCTTCAACATTTCTCTCATCCTTCCCTTCTTGATGTATAAAAAGCGAACAAAACTCTTCAGGTGTCAATCCAATTTTACCAAAATCCAAGGCTTTAAAAAGAAATTCTTCATCATCCGAGTCATTGTTTAAAGTGAAGGAATTGTTTTCATTTTCCCAAAACGGGCCATGTTCACTTGAATTTTCCATATAAGTTACCCACATATTTATTAGATTGCCAGGAAGTCCTAAAAGTTAAATTTAAAAAATGCGGACATATTTTGCGGACTTTCTGCAAATCCGCAAAAATTTTTGCGGATTTTTCTAAATGCCTGCAAAAATTTTGCGGATTTTTCTAAATGCCTGCAAAAATTTAAAAAAATAAAAAAATTTACTGTTTTCATAGATAAAACGTTCATTCAGCAAAATTCGAGCAAAAGGAGTATCTAAAACTCGCAATCCTCCAGATTTGCGGGCTATGCCCTTGTAGACGTACAAATTATTTAGGGAGATGTCACAGCTGATTAAAACCTAAAAATGACAAAATAAAATTTTATAAAAGAAAAAAATTTTTTAAAGACATTTGGTGTGTATTTGGAAATTAGTTGTGAAACACCTAGTAAAACATGCTGGCATTTCTTTGTCGAATTTTTTAAAATCCGCAAATTTTTTGCGGACAAAAATTTTTTATATTTTTACAGAAAAAAATATATCCGCAAAAATTATTAATCAATTTATTTGTTCTCGTTTTTCAAACGTTTTTTTTCGATTAAAATTTTTTAAAAATAAATCCCTGGCTAATTTCCAACTAGACAGAAAAATCGGAAGGTACCCTCCCTTTATTCAAACCCAAAAAGCCAAAAAAAATTTTAAAATTAAAAATGAAAACCTGAAGTTTCCCGTCTTTACAAATTCTAGTTTTTGGATATTTTTGTCCATCAGCTTTTTCAAATTTAGGTAAACACATTTTGCTAAATATTAGCGATTTATTTGCTACATTAGCGAATGTTGCTGTTATCCAATTTCCAATGTTACATAAAGTGTCATATTGTTGTAAACTGAAAAAAAAAATTTTTTTTTAGTCAAATACCCCCAATACGCAACTTAAAAATCGTTTTTAAAAATATGGATATTGGGAAAATACGGATATGTCCGCAAAAAGTGTCCGCAATTTCCCCTGAATATTGGAAAATTTTGCGGACACTTTTTGCGGACTTTTCTTTTGGATATTTTTTGCGGACAAAAAATTGCAGACATTTTTACTTCGTTATAAGGCCCGGAGTTTTTTAACATCAAAAGGGTATCTAATAAAGACCCAACTATTTAAATAAAATTAAAAAAAAACCTCGGAAATAAATTAGCAATTACAATAGCCAATCCTATATCAGAAGCATAAATAACTGCATAATGCAATGTTCTTTGAACTATTATTCCTGTTGCACGCTGAAATTAAGAAAAAATGAATTTTGACATTTTGAAGCGTCCATAATGGATATTTTAAAGTATTGATGTTTTTAATTTAGCTAACATTGATGGTGCGCCAAAATTTTGGCGTTTACTTTGGCGATCCGCACAAATTTTGTTGTACTTATATTCTATTTTTTAGCGCTGCAGGCGAAAATTTTTTAAATTTTAGAGTTCAAGAACCCTTGATACGCCCTTACCATTTTGAATTTTGACCATTTTTAATTTTGGACATTTTACAATTTATAAAAAAATTTTTAAACAAACCACTCGATCATGTTTCGAAACCATAGGTGCATAACTTCTCAACTCCTGTTCAATCATCAAATGTCGTTCCTTCAAATAATCACAATAACCACCCCCTTCCTTCTCCCGAAGATCATCAATTTCAATTAATTTGGGTGTTTGTCTTGGAGGATCAACTTTTTTATTATTTATTTCTTCCTCTATTCCCTCATTATTTTCTGTCTCGATATTAATTTCCTCCTCATCATATTCATCCCACAATAATAAATTTGAATTTTCATTATTTGTATTATGATTGGTATTATTGTTTGTAAATGGAGATATGCTTGAAGATGGAAGTGTTGAATTTATTGAAAAATCACACAACCCTGTCGAGATGGAATGGATACGATGAGATCTCTAAAAAAAAATTTAAAAAATATTGTCTTTTTTGTTGTAATACAATTTAAGTGACATTTTCTAATTGGGGGTTTTAGAATACATTTTGAGATATTTTGGGAGGTTGACCAGTGTTCATAAATTTTAATTTTGCTCGTACTTCGTACCACCCCTAATTTTCACCTCGTACTCGTACTTCATACCTGCCAATTTTTGGTACGAACTCAATTCGAAATATCCCTAATTAATTGACATTCGGAAATACTGAGATCAAACAATTTTTGAAGGGAGTATTCAGGGGGGGCTGGCCGACCCTCAAGATACGCCCGTGCAATTTTCAAAATAATATTTAGAAAATAAACCTTTTGTGTACTCATATTTCCTTCATTGAAAGACGAACATTTAGCTTGTTCAACTTCTTGATCATTTTCTGAAGATCCCGCATTATTTTCTTCCTCAAAATATTTTTCTTTAGAAGCAGATTCCTTTGAATTTTCCTTCATTTCTTCAACTATAGGTTTTGTAATTAACGGCTTTTCAAGCTTAAAAAAATTTTTTTCAAAAAATTTTTTCTTCGAAAAAAACCTCAGCCCAATCACTATCAACATTTGGTTTAATTGCTAAAGCTATCCAACGACATAAATCGGGATATTCTTTTGTGAAGGTAACATAAGCCTTCAGAAAAAATTTTTTAAAATAAAAAAAATTTTTCCCAGCAAACCGTCACATATTCTGCCCAGCCTAAATCCAATCTTTGTACTAATCTCAAATCTTTTACGCATAATACAATTCCCAAAAAAGGTTCATTTACAAGCATTAAATCATCTCCGACGTAACGAACAGGTCCATAAATTTGACATTCCATCTGTTAAAGAAAAAATATTTTTGCGGATTGTCCGCAAATAGTTGCGGACAAATTTTAAAAAAACAACAAGTCCGCAAATTTTTTTGCGGAAAAGTTTTTGCCCGCAAATTTATTTTTGCTGACTAATATTCTGAAAAAAAATCCTCACTTACCCTAATAGTATTTTCGGATTTACGAAAAATCACTTGACGATCAACATCCGAAGTGAAAATGTCATAGGCAGTATAACGACAACGATTGACGTGAGCACCTTGTTGCTGTTGTGTGTCATCGAGAAAGGCACGATAATTTACCCATGTTGAAATTGGCCACTAAAAAATTTAAAAAATAAGAAATTAGTTGCGGACAAAAATTTGAAAGAGATTTCGTCCGCAAGATTTTTGCGGACAAAAAAAATTGAAGAAATTTTATCCGCAAGATTTTTGCGGACAAAAAAATTTGCTGCTAGCTCACTATCAGAAATACCGATTCCAGGAAAAAATCAGAAACCAGAATTTTTGAATCCAAAAAACATAATCAGAATTTCTGACTAGGAAAAATCAGAATTTCCCCCTATAACCTTGGCCTTATTATCCATCATTTAATAAATAAAAATTTTTAAAAAATCCCAACCCTTTTATCCAATCCAATTAAAGGCAATCCTGGCGCTCTAACCAAATCATGAGTTTTATTCCATAAAATTAAACCAAAATTGTCTGCTTCAACAACTAATCCAGTATGAATTTTCATCATATCCTCTTCATCCTCCACCAAATTTTGTTGAGTAGGAGGGCGAGCCTTTTCCTTCACCGTTAAATTTTCATCTCTAGTCAAGTCAACAACTTCTTTTGCTATAGGATTTTTTAAAATTGTTGTTGTTTCAAAATTATTTTTTTGTTGCTTTTGTTTTGGTTCTTCTGGAATTGTAGTAGCAGCAGAATTTTCATTATTGTCAAAAATTTTTTTGTTGTTTGAATTAATTATTTGGCAGTCATTATCGTCATCATCATCATCAAGTCGAAAAATATTTTTCTTATTATTAGTTGGAGGTTTCTTAAATTTATATTTATTTATAAAAATTAATTTTGTTAAAATATTTTAAACCTCATTTTAAACAATAATTTGCGGACTAAATTGTAAAAGAAAATTTGTCCGCAAAAATTTTGCAGACAAAAAATTAATTTTTTCTAGCTCAATGAAGGAATTTCCGAGAAGGTTAAATGAGGGTTATAACGTGTCTTATGAGGTTTCACTGTATTTAATTATTTGCGGACTTAATTTTAAATGAAAATTTGTCAGCAAAATTTTTGCGGACAAATTTTGCGGACAAAAAAATTTTTGCAGATAATCCGCAAAATTTTTGTAGACGAAAATTAGCGTTTATTTCTAGCTTAATGCCATAATTTCCGAGAAGGCTAAATCAGTGTTAACACGTGTCTTATGAGGTTTGATAGCATTAAATTAAAAAGAACCTTTTGTTTAACATCATCATCCTCATCATTTGAACCTTCATCAAATAAATTTAAGGTTGAATGAACAAGCTAAAAAATTTTAAAAATAAAAATTATTCCAATATAAAAATAAACCTTTGGGATAGTTTTTTCAGCACTTATTGAAGAATTTTTTCGACTATGTTCTATACCCATAATTTTCGTCCAAGGCTATAAAAAGATAAAAAATAAATTTTAAAATTTTTTGTTTATGTTAGCTAAATGCTCTTTCCCAGGCCCGTAGCCAGGATTTTTTTCGGGGGGGGGGGGGGCCAAGGGGGGAAAATTTTTTCTGCGCCAAATTTTTGGCGCCGAAGGCGCCAGAAATTTTTATTTTCAGCGCCGCAGGCGAAAATTTTGAGAAATTTAGAAGGCCGTAGGCCAAAAAAATTCAATTTTTCGGCGCTACAGGCGCCAAAAAAGTGATTTTCAGCGCCGCAGGCGAAAATTTTTTGAATTTCAGAGGCCGTAGGCCAAAAAAATTCACTTTTTTTGCCCCAGCCCTTCCCCAAATTTTTTCCTTTTTCCCATTTCGGGGGGGGGGGGGGGAATTCCCCCCCTCACCCCCCTGGCTACGGGCCTGCTCTTTCCTATTTTTTAAAACAAAAATCAGAATTTTTGATTCAGCCTAACCAAACACTTTCTGATTTCTTTCCGAGTTATGATTTTACTATTTTGAGAAATCAGAGGCCTTCAGTTGATTAGTTTTTTTATTTGTTCTGATTCAAAAAAAAATCAAAATTCTGATTTTTTGATTATAAAAATCAAAATTTCTGATTTCCAGAATTTCGTCTTTCACAAATTCTGAAATTTCAAAAGACCCCAAAATTTCCAGATTTCTCAGAAATTAAAATAATTTCCAAAAAAAACTTACCGCTTTGCTTAACAATTCCCGAGCCTTTTCTCTATCAAAAATTTTTGTAAATTTATTAACAGTACAAAAAGGAGTTCCAAGTTTAGGTATCCACTCATCAAGTTCAGGAGGAATTCTTTAAAAAAAATTTTAATAAATTTCAAACAAACAAAAAAACCTAGTAACATAAGTTTGATAAACATCCCCAGCTTGAAGATGTGCATTTGGAGGAGCAAAACAGGCAACATAACAAAATTCATCAGAAAATCCCAAAGCTGTGCAACGCTTAAGAAAAAAATTATTTTTATTTTACATGACCAAAAAAATTTTTTTTTTGTTTAATTAAAAATTTGTTTTTTGTTCATGTTCCCAAGTCCGCAACATTTTATCCGCAAGTAATATTTACTTTGGTTAACTTTTAACAACTTTTTTCCTTTGGAATAAGGACAAAAGTGTTAGGAGGTGGTTATTTTTTTTGTTTGTTTATTTGACTTCAAATTGTTTTTTATTTTTGACTGACACTCTCGGTGGTGTAAATAAATAAATTTAAAAATATTAAGTGAGAAATACGACTTGCGGACGAAAATAAAACTTGCGGATTCTGAAAATATTGGCGAAAAATAAAAAAATGCTAAAACTTTGAACGCCTAAAGGAAAAATAAAAAAATCAAAAACAAAGAAAAGTCCTAAAATTAAAAAAGTAACAAAAAATGTCATTTTGTCAACTATCAATATGACAACAAAATTTTCTAAGGAATAGACAGGTTAAAGCGACGGCCAATTAAATTACCCATAAAATCCTAATTAATAATTAAACCAAAAAAGTTTTACCGGAACTTGTTCTTGTATATTCTTGAGTACATCAAACTCTTTTGGAGCAAAAGTAATTAGGCATTCTGCCTAAAATTTAATTGAAAAAATTTTTTCTTCAATTAAAAATTTTAAAAAAACCTTCCAAACACGATTACTCGGTAAAACATTTAATTGTCTATTTGCCCTTTCACATCGTGTAGCGTCCAAAGTTGAAGAATTTTCATTTGGCAAAGTAAAATGAATTAGTTCGCCATGCTAGAAAGAAAAAATGAAGTTAAAATTTAACTGTAAGATAGAGGATCCAATTTTTAAGGGAAGAATTGGGGAAAGAACGAGAAAGCAAAATTAATCAAACAAATTCCTAGAAAAGTTGTCGACAACTTTTTATCCGCAATTTTAAATCCGCAACAAAATTTTTTATCCGCAACCTTTATTAGATGATTCATCATAACCAGATTACCCTAAATGTCCTAATGGAAACCTTGCCTTATTAGAAGCCCATTAAATGATACCCTTTTTGAAAAATAAATGCAAAGTTAAATGCACTTTTAAATAAAAAATAGTAGATGGAATTTTGTTAGGTTAATCCCTCTATTAAAAATTCCAATTTGCGGACAAAAAGTTGCGGAATCGACTTAAAGTCGGAAACTCTTCCCTCCAATCCCTCAAACCCTACCAATAAAATTTCCGTTTTTAACAAAAATAAAATATTATTTTTAAAAAACCTTAAAGTCCTTTTCTGGAACCTTTCTACATCTAAATTCTTTATATCCATGTCCCAATGCCCAAACATAAAAATGAGATTCATCAATGCGTGTTACAATACCAACGCTCATTTTCTTTTTTCCAAGTAAATTGATGGCTTTAAAAAAATGAAAAAAAATTTTTTTTAATTAAAAACAAGTCAAAAAAATAACAAAATTCATTCAAAAATGAATAGAAAAAAATTTTTAAAATTCAAAGAAAAAATATTAAAATTTTTATTTTTTTGAGAAATGTGAGAGAGAAGTATAAGTAAAAATTGAAGGACACGCAGGCGCGCAACCCTAACGGCGCAGAGCCATAACTTGCTAGAAATTTTCTGGCCCTTAACAATTTTAGTATCAATTAATTTAGCTCGATGAGAGGAATCGTTTAATACCAATTTTGTTAAGATTCGGAATTTATGAAGCAAGTTATGGGCGCGCGCCGGGCTGTACCCTGAAAAATATTATATTCTATATTTTTGTAAAATCAAAAAAAAAGACAAACAAAAAACAACAAAAAATTTTTTGATGCAGTTTTTATAAATGTCAAAGACAATCTCTCAGAGAAAAGAAATAATAATATTTTGTGAAACCAAAAATATTAAAAGAAAAATTTTTTATTAAAAGAAATAAGAGAAAAATAAATTAAAAATATTGGCAGAGCTGAAGGTCGGTTAAGTTAAAAAAATTTTTTCGGGTCACGGAGGTACATTCCAGGCCGTCCAGGATTCAAAAATATTAAAAACAAAATTCAAAGACTATATAAGGATCCATGGTTAAGTGGAAATTTTAAATTATTTTGGGGTCATGGGTTCGAACCCGCTCAGGGTAAAATATTTTTCTGATAAAAAAGAAAATCATAGCCTTGAGATAAAATGGATTGGTGAAGGGTTGGCATGCCCTCCAGCCACCTCCCTTGGATTCAAGACGGGATTAGCCTGCTCCGTTAACTCTTCTTCCCTCCGTCTTCCCCATTGCAATGCCTTTTAATTTAATATTTTTTTCAAAAAGCATTGCTTTGAAATTTTTTTAATAAAAAACAAAAAATAAATAACATATCCTTTTTCCAAACACACAAAAATTCAATGCAAAACATTTTGAAGCTCTTTTAAACGCAAATCAGGAGTAAAGGCAACAGAGCCCCAACGACTAGCTTCAATTGAAGTTGCCAATTCAGCACTCGAATTTATTAAAAGAGCATTGTGCTCTTCAGCAGATAAAGGCTCAACATCTGTAGAAAAATTAAAAAAAAAATTTTCTTTAAAAAAAATAAAAAAACCCTCATAATATTGTTGAATTTCTGGCTTAATAGGCATAATTAATTGAGGTTGAACATGAGCAATATTGTGTTGCTGTTGATTGGGATATTGAATAGAACCAGCAGGCATTCCTATTTGAGGCATAACAGCACCAGGATTAAAAAGATTATGTTGATGAAACTTCAAAAAAAAATTTTTAGAAAAATGTTAAAAAACAACTAGCTACGGATTCTTAGTTAAGTGGAAAGTACAAACAAAATATTTTACCCCGAACGGGTTCGAACCTGTGGTCACAGGTTCGAAAACCTGTGACCACAGGTTCGAACCCGGTCGGGGTAAAATATTTTTTTATTTATTTTTAAGTTAACAAATAAACTTTATCAAATAAATAAATGATGTTGAAATGTATTTTAGAAGATGTAATGATCTATGGTTAAGTGGAAATTCGAAAAATTAGGGGTCACAGGTTCGAACCCGTTCAGGGTAAAATATTTTTTGATTAAACAGAACCTGTTGTTGAATGAACGGATTCTGTTGAAAAGTATTCCCAACAAAGATAGGCTGTCCAGCAAATTGTTGTCCAGCAGGCATTCCACCAAAACCTGCCATTCCATGGTTTGGCGCTAATTGAGTTCCATAAGGTGTTGCCATAGAAAGTGGAGCTCCTGCAGGCATAATTCCGACACCAAAAGGAGTGTTGGCAATCATTGGAATAGCTGCATTTGGAACTTTAAAAAACAAAATTTTGGGGAAATTAATTTTTGAAATAGGGGAAAATACGGCATTATTACTTAAATCGTAACAGAAATATGGAAATTTCCGCAGTATTTCAGAATGAACGGATTAATTTTGTAGGTAAAAAGTTAGAAATCTATAACTTGTGTGTTTTCCTAAACCAATAATTTTACCAAAAAATATTTTACCCCGAACGGGATCGAACCCATGACCCCAAAATATCTTAAATTTCCACTTAACCATGAGTCCTTGGTTACAAAACAAAATCGAAAAAATTAGCCCAACATTTAAAAATCAAAATAATTCCCAAATTTAAAAAATAAAATACCAAAAAATCCAGGCGCCGGATAGGCAGGAGGTGCACCCATTAACGACGCTGATCCATGCACACCTCGCGGCGCATAACGCCCAGTCCCTCGAGTTTTTGGCCGGGCCAATTTCAGAAACAATTCACGACCAAAAAAGCTTTGTTTGTTCATTTCAACCTTTAAAAAAAATTTTTTTGAACAAAAATTTTAAAAAATACCAAAGCTTTTTGTTGATCAGTCTCTGATGTGAATCGAACGAATCCTTGTTCTTTGGAATACCCTTCCTCATTTCGATAGACTTTAGCACCCCGACAGGAACGATAGCGTTCGCCAAATAACTAAAAAAACAAAATTTTTTTGAGAATTTTCACACGTAGGGAATAGGGTGACCGCTTTTCCGACATATCTATTTGCTTGGTTAAGTGGAAATTCCAAATATTTTAGGGTCGTGGGTTCGAACCCGGTCAGAGAAAAATATATTTTTACTATTTCTGAATGAAAAAGAAACTGTCTTCTTCTAATTTTATGGTTCGTCTCTTATATATTGAATATTTATTTAATGCTAATCTTTTATAGCAAAGTAAAAAAGTAATACTAAAAGACAACCCGGTATAAATATAGAAAGAGACCGCAAAAAATAATCCTCAAAAAATCATTATGAGAACACAAGTAAATCGGTGAATTAATTATTCTTTAAAGAAAATGCCCAAAAGACGACGGAGAAAGTCAAAAAGAAAAATTTAAAAATATTGGTTGCTTTCGTATATGATCATAAAAGTCCGCAAGTTTTGTCCGCAAATCCAATATTTGAATAAAAAAGAGAAAGAACCGAGAGAAAGAAACCGAAGGGAAATCACCAAAAATAATTAAAAAATACCCTAAAAAGAGAAACATCATCAACATCTGGAGACAAATTGTTAACAAACAGGTTGTACTCAACAGACCTAAAAATTAAATTTTTTAAACAAAATTAGAAAAAAAATACATTTGATGTGGAGAATTGGCAAATGCAAGATTAAAACGTGCTCTTCCAGACGGGTCATTTGGAAACTAAAAAAATCAAAAATATTGCTTAAAATCCAAAAGAAACCGGTTTCCCATTAACATCCAACAATGCATCACGAGCAGAATCTTCATTGGAAAACTCAACAAAGCAGTAAGTAGCTTTCTAAAATTAAAATTTATTAAAGGGTTTAAGGGTTTGTCGATAATGGGGGAAAGGATGTCATCTGCAGGCCCCAAATTCATTTCTACCGGTAATAGTTTGGAATTTGCCCCCCCTATTTTCCCTTCTATTTTTCCTAGTTTTTTCTCATTTTATAGCAAATTATATATATCATTCGAAAGAGCTCTTCGAGCCGAGTCGAATGACATTAATATTAACGAAAAAGGACTTAAGTGAACAAAGTTGTGACCGCTTATGTTATTCCCTTGAATTGTCACAAAAAGTCTTCACAATAAGGATTTTGCTTCATAATTTTGGTAAGAATGATCAGATTTAGCCAATCATAGTATCATTCGACCAAGCTTGAAAAGCTCTTTCGAATGATATATGATAAATTAAGTATCAAACAAAAAAAGCTTAAAATGGTCAGGGAAACAGTGAAAAAAGGGGGCGAATTCCAAACTATTATCATATATCATTCGAAAGAGCTTTTCAAGCTTGGTCGAATGATACCATGATTGGCTAAATCTGATCATTCTTACCAAAATTATGAAGCAAAATCTTTATTACAGAAATGTAGAAACAAATTGATTCATAGTTAAATGTGGGCATGTTCAGAGATCGGGTTTCGAAAGGCGTATCAAGAATGCCTAGCAAGGAAAATAGAAGCTTATTGGGGGACCCCGTAAAAGCCGATCACTAGTCCAGTATGTAGCAAAGCATAAAAGAATAAAGCTATGGTGGGGCCATGAGAGGGGGCCTACTTATTCAAGTCAGTCTAAACACCTCCAAAAAGTCCACAAGAAACTTTAAAAAAATAAAAAAAAAATAAACCCTGGCTCCTTGGTCAGTAGTCACCATCTTCACATTAACAATATCCTTCCCGTACTGTGCAAAAGCTTCACGGATATAACTAGCATCCCAATCAGGGCTTAGATCACCCATCCAAATAGTACAGTCTGGTGCAGGAAAATGGTGCTGTTGTTGGTGTTGAGGAAATGGAGGTTGTTGCTGTTGTGGATTTGTAGGTTGCTGCTGTGGAGCTGGTGGTAATTGTGGTTGCTGTTGATTGATACCAGGATTGGCAGGAGCGTCAATATCTTGTTGGGGATTTTGCAACATTTTTAGATTTTGTTCAGGAATCTTTAAAAAAATTTGTCAAAAATTTAAAAGCAACCTTGACAAACCAACAACGTAAAAAAATTATAAGACAATCCGGCGCGCGGCCATAACGGCGCAGAGTCATAACTTGCTAGAAAATTTCTGGACCTTATCAATTTTGGTATCAATCTCTTCAGCTCAATGAGAGGAATCATTTAATACTAAATTTGGTAAGATTCAAAAAACTTGAAGCAAGTTATAGCTTTGCGCCGTTATGGCCGCGCGCCTATTTGGGCTGTACTCTTAAAAAGGCTCTTTATTTTTCTCTAACTGTCTGTCAAATGTATTTTCAAGAAATAAAGCTGTTTGAGTCTAAACAGTTAGAGTCTTAATAGTAACTAGTTTTCATATAAATCAAAAAGTAAGACTCAAGTGTCTCATTTTTTGTTTCAAAACTTAGGGGATAGTAGAGTACCTGAAGAAATTTTCTATACGTATTCGTCTATTTACTGACTCTAACACACTTTTTATTTTTTTGTTATTATAAAAGCGCCAAAACTTATTACAAACAATGTGAAAACAGTCAAAGCGTCCGTTTGCCTAAACGTGAAGATTAATTAAATTAGGTATTGCTGTTTTAGGGGGTTTCATGCGCGCGCTTGTCTTGTTCATTCAATTGTTGATTTATTTTTTTATTTATTTTTTTGTCAAGGACTTTTGTAAATTTTCGAAAAAATTTTTTTTAAGATTTTCGAACAAAATTTCTAAAAATGCTGCAAAATTCTCAACAAGATATTGACGCTCCTTCCAACCCGTGTATGAGTCAACAGCAACAGCCTCCATTTCCTCAACACCAACAACAGCACCACTTTCCTGCTCAAGCCTGTACTATTTGGATGGGTGATCTAAGCCCTGATTGGGATGCTAGTTATATTCGAGAAGCTTTTGGACAGTATGGGAAGGATATTGTTAATGTGAAGATGGTGACTACTGACCAAGGAGCCAGGGTTTATATTTTTGTTTGTTTAAAGATTTTGGGCTTTTTGGATGTTTTGGGGCAAATTTGACAAAATGGGTTTCATTAGATATTTACTTCCTTTGCTTTCTTGACCCGTAAGCCTCGTGGTCTTCTTCTAGGTCACTCTTATTTATGTAATTCTTCTCTTGGTTTCCCTCCTTGGCTTCCATTAGGTCTCTTGGATCGCTGTAATTTCCTTGTCACTTTAATTTCTAGACTTCTATGGTTAGTCGCTTTGGTTATGCCCTCCTTGGCTTTTTTATGACCTCCTTTGGCTCTTTGACCTCTTTTTGTTATCTTGAAATCTTTGCCTTACTTTGCTTATTTCATAAGGTCTCTTGGACTTCCTCTAGGTCGCTCTAATTTCTGGATCTCCTTTTTAGGCTTCTTTAACTCCCAGATCAACTCATTTTTGCGGTTGACGAACCTTACTTATTTTCAAATTTTAGAAAGCTACTTATTGCTTCGTTGAATTTTCTAATCAAGATTCTGCGCGTGATGCTCTTTTGGATGTTAATGGGAAACCGGTTTTTTTGGATTTTTAAACAATATTTTTGATTTTTTTAGTTTCCAAATGACTCGTCTGGAAGAGCACGTTTTAATCTTGCATTTGCCAACTCTCCACATCAAATGTATTTTTTTCTAAATTTTTTTTAAAAAATTTAGTTTTAAGGTCTGTTGAAGACAACCAACAATTCGTCTCCAAACAAACCATTTGTTTCCATAAACAAACACCAACAAAAACTTTATCTCCCAGTGTTGATGATGCTTCGCTTTTTAGGGTATTTTCTTTTATTGTTTTTTTGGGTAATTTACTAGTTGTTTTTGTTATCTTGGGGTTTTCAGTTTTTATTTTATCAAAAAATTTTTGCGGATAAAATTTGCGGATTTTTGAGAGCATTAGGGAAATAGCCAATTTCTTTTAACTTTCTTCGTCATTTTTTGATCATCCTTCTCCCAAACGATTATTACAAAGATTTACTCGAATCCAAAAATTTTCTCTTTTTAGTTATTTGGAGAACGCTATCGCTCTTGTCGTGGTGCTAAAGTCTATCGAAACGAGGAAGGGTATTCTAAAGAACAAGGTTTTGTTCGCTTCACATCCGAGACGGATCAACAAAAGGCTTTGGTATTTTTTAGTAATTTTAATTAAAATTTTTTACGAAAATTTTTAACTCGTGGATACCCCGTTCGAGGTTTTTTTTTTGAGTAACTCCCTCTAAGACCTTGACCAATAATTACAAAAATATAAAGGTTTTGGAGTTTTTTTTTTGTTTTTTTTTCAGCCACTGCAATCGTCCTCACCAAACGTATCCTCACCACCAATGAAAAAGAAAATGGCACCAATAGTACCTCCAAAACCTGTATCCTCTTCAAAAGACAAATTCCGGCCTATAACACCAACAGAAACAATAATTGGATCGCTTTGGGATGATATTAACCGAGAACTGGAAAAATACAAAGAAGAGAGGAAGAAGCAAAAATCTGACCCTAATTTAAGCTCAAAAAGTCATCTAAGCACAACAAGTTCTTCAGTTTCAACAATTTCTAATTTTAACAACAAACAGGATGTGGAAGGGGGTGAGCAATTTAAACGATTAATTCGGCTTTTTTATATAAGCTTTTTTCTGTTTTTCTAAGGCTCCTTTAAACCATATTTCTGTAAAAGCATTTTATGGTTTAAGATTTTTTTTTATAAATTTGCGGACAAAGTTTGCGGATTTCTCCCGTTATAAAGCGTGTATCAATTTTATCAACGGCAATTTTTAAACAATTCTGTGCAAGAGACTTTGTATGGTCTAAATTTTGACAAAAGTTTATTTTATTGCTTTTAATTTTTTTTATAAATTTGCGGACAAATCTTGCGGATTTTTCCTCTCATAAGCTTAATATACCCTCTCTTTTTTCTTTTATCTTAAATTCACTTTTTCATATTTTTAGATTCTCTTTTTCATGGAAAAAGACAACATTCGTTTGGCGTTGATGAGGATAAATCTGACGATTTGAATTTTTCAATTTCTTCAAAAACAGGCAAATTAATTACTAAAGTGGATTCACTCATTTCCAATGATTCGAGCATCGACCTACAATCTCAAAAATCTCAGCAAGAAGTCCAAGTTAAACGACTGCATGATATGATTGTTGTTCAACAAGACCAAATCTGCCAAGCCTCTCGGGCTTTGGCCTTTTGTCGTCAAAATGATCAATTTCGTGGTGGGAGAGAAGAGGTTTTTTTTAAGATTTTTTTGGTGTTTTTTGTCCAATTTATTTTATATATTGCCAGAAATTTGAGTTTTTCCTACTCAAAAATTGCTTTCATTTCGATTTAAAAATAAATTCACTCAACGGGTTCGAACCCTTACCCCTTAAGGGAGCTTACAAGTTTTCCCACTTAACTATTGATAGAAATTTTTCAATTTTTGAAAAAAATTTTTTTATCGCTTTCGGCTCATTTCTCTTCAAATGTAAATTCTGCCAACTGGTTCGAATCCATGATCCCCTCCTCTAGAGAATTCACCCACTTACCTAAAGATTACTCAACTAGGAAAGTTTGTTAAGATTTTCCGTTCATTTTTTTTTTGAAAATTAATTGAATTTTTGTTTTTTCAAAGATTGATGCTCAACGTGCTCTTTTAATTGCAACAGAACGCCGCCGTGCATTACTTTTGGAACGAGATCGGATCATGACTGGTAAACAACTCCAACAAACTAATGCTTCAACAACTGAACCAAAAGGAACTTTAATTATCTCCTCTATTTCAATTAGACTTTCGAGGGAATACGTAAATAATTGTGCTCATGGCGGTGCTTCTTGTTAGTTTCTTTTAAATTTTTTTTAAAATTTTTTTTTCGTTAAAATTCTCGACTGGGTCAAGCTGGGTTCGGGTCAGTGCTCTTACCTAAATATTATTTTGTACCATTTTTGATTTTATGTATTTTTTCGGATTCTGATCTCTTTATTCGGCACATGTTTTTATGGGTTTTTCGGATTCCATGCTGAAGATCTGGAGCTCTTGAATAAATCAAGCCAGAATCCAAACCCAGACATTTCCGAATTTATTACTCCAGAAATTTCGGATCAAGGCCCAGAATTCCAAAAAAAATTTTTTACTGAATGACCTCCAAATGTTTATTTATTGATTTTTAGCCTTATATTTAAATATTTTTAAAATTTTTTAAAGCTATCAACCGCTATTATTTCATTATTTTACTCAAATGTGGTGAACTTGTTTTACATACTTCTCTAGCGTCGAGTGAACAAGGAATAAAAAGTGGATTTATTGAATTTACTCATTATATACCTATAGAAGGGTTGACCCCAGACTTTGTTTGTGAATTGGAAATTTATTCTTTGGTTTGGATTTTTTTTTCATTTTTATTAAAAAAATTTTCATTTTTTTAAAGAAGGCTTCCCAAGAAAAAGACGCGTCAGACCGCAGTGCTCGTAGCAAAAAAGGAACGTGGCGGCGTATGGTTATCAGCACGCCGCTTAATGCATATTCCAACACTTTCAGTTTGTTTATTTTTTTTTGAATTTATTTTGGACTTTAAATAGGATGGGACCTTCAAAGGCTTAAAAATTATACTTTGTATTAAGGTGTATTTTAAATGGTGAGATATTTTTGACCAAGGGCGTAGCCAAGGGGTCGATTTCTGGGGACTACGCTCTTTCCTTCCTGGCTACGCCTTGACAAACAATTTTTTAAGAAAATAATACTTGGAGGATCTTAGATAGTGTTTCTCTTATATTTCCTAACCCCTTTCTTCAGGGGGTTAGTCGGCGTTGGGCCCCAAGAGTGGTAACCCACCCTTGGGGCGCGCCGATCCACCTATTAAAAACGAAGGCCTTCTTTTTAACTTTTTATTCAACAAATATATTAAATAAATAAAAGGGGGAGAGGACAGGCCAACTTTTGATCGGGCCCAAAACTTTTATGAGTGAGTTGATTTGGCCTATTCTCTCTCGCCTTTTATGAGGCGCTAAAATGGGCGTTTCATAATCTTAACTATGACAGTTTCTGACTGTATCTCTTATTTGGCTTCTGAAAATATTTACCCGCAAAATTTTTTAATTCAAAAAAATTCTTTTCTTAAAGATAACTATTCCACTGGAAATAGACCTATTGGTGTAATGGATCCAGGATTTCAACGTGTTGGACATCTCTCAATAACCAGACAATTAATTGGCCGCCAAAAATTTTTATTAAATGACACAGTGTATCCTTTGGATGGAAGTTGTTTATTAAGTATGGATTGCCATACTGACGAGGTTTTTTTTTGAAAGAATTTTGAATTTTTTTTGAAAATTTTTTTCTCTAGAATTCTTCAAAATTTGGTGGTTATAGTTCTTTTCTTTCACTTTACCAAATTGTTAGTGGTTTTGGTGCTTGGAATCGTTTTTGGTGTGTTTTGGATAATGGACTTTTAAATTTTTGGCGTTATCCTGAAGATGAAGGGACAAAAGTAAAAAAATTTTTTTATTTTAAATAAATTTTTGAATTTTTTTTTCTGGGAAATTAAGTTCATCAGAAACCTAACAATAAGTTTTCATTGCCATAAGCCAAAGCTTTTAGGTTATTTTAGTGGAAAAAATTTTTTCAATTGCCAAAAATAAGTATTTTTCGTGTCAGAAAATTTTTTAAAATTAAATTTAAAAATAAATTTGAGCAACGGGTTCGAACCCATGACCCCCTACTCTAGAATCATAGAACTGACTCACTTAACCAAAGATTTTGGGGAAAAAATTTTTAGGCCTAAAAATTTTTTCGATTTTCTTGGATTTTTCAAAATTTATTTTTTTCAGACTCCTACAGTTACAATAGAATTGGTTTGGTGTATTACGTCAGTTACAGCATTGCCTCCTTCTGCTGCCTCATTTCCAAATTCAATGCAAGTTGATGTTGTTCCTCCACAAATGAATGAAGGGGATAAAAAGGAAGGTGTTAGGTTAGTTGTCGTTTTTTTTTATTTTTTGGGACTTTAATAATTTATTCAAATACTTTATTGAAGTTTACTTTTCTAAATTAAATTTTTTTGAGAAAGTTTTTGGTAAATTTAAGGACTAAAATATCTCTGACTTGGTAAATATTTTTTTTAATTAAAAAAAAATTTTTTTTTGAAATTTTTTGGGATTTTAAAATTTAATCAATACTAAATATGTTATTGAATTCATATTTTTTGGAAAAAATTTTAATGGCTTAAAAATGCCCCTGATTTGAGAAAAATCCTTTAAAAATTGTTTAATTTTTTTGTGTGATAAAATGTCCTAGAAAATTTTTAAAAAAATTAATTTAAAAAAATTTAATTTTTAAAGGATGCTTTTTGCTGCTGATACTCCAAATGAGCGTGACTATTGGTTAGAAAATATAAATCGAGCAATTCGAAATGTAAACATTTGGCGTCCAATTAAACGAAAATAGAGAGTAATGGAAAAATTTGTGAATGAATTTTTAGAAGAAGAATGAAGGTTATTTTTTATTTTTTTGTGTAGCTCTTTGACACTTTCTCCCAAAAAAAATTTTTAAAAATTGGGAAAAAATTTTTGAACTTGAAAAAATTTTTAAAAATCGAAAAAAAAATTTTTGGGATCAATTGTCCTCATCCAATAATAACTACACTCCGTTCCAAAAGTATATAGCCACCCAATTTTTTTCCAAAATCTCCAGCTAATCCAATTTTTAAATGGGTTATGCTTAATTTGAAATATTTTTTAGACCCATTCTAATGATCTGATAATGTTATTTTATGCGTTATGAAAATATACGACTAGAAATTAGGGAATATTTGACTTTACTCAAAATTAATGCGTTCCAAAAGTATATAGCCACCTTTGGTTTATAGGTTTTCAATAGTAAGAAAAATTCACAAAAATTAGTGCGAACATATCTATCAATATACATAAGAAATACAAAAGAAATGAAGTTCTGATGTACTCCCATCATTGAGATCTTGAAACCCGAAAATCAACGGAAAACCGAGGTAGACGTATTTAAAAAATATTTTCGACCCCTTACAGGTATTATAAAAATTTAATTTTAGGCTCATTTGAAAGCCCTTAAAATTTGCTACAAGATAGTGTTCATCTCATAATCCAGAAAAAATCAAACTTTGAGAAATAGTGAGTTTAGTTTATAAGTCACATTTTTATCGCTTTTTGGGGTGCGTTTGAGTGGTTTCTATGACCCAAAAGTTTATCACATTAGGTGTTACAGTTGAATTTTTTTCAGAAAATAATATTAATGCTATCTTGTAGCAAATTTTAAGGGCTTTCAAATGAGCCTAAAATTAAATTTTTATAATACCTGTAAGAGGTCGAAAATATTTTTTAAAGACGTCTACCTCGGTTTTCCGTTGATTTTCGGGTTTCAAGATCTCAATGATGGGAGTACATCAGAACTTCATTTCTTTTGTATTTCTTATGTATATTGATAGATATGTTCGCACTAATTTTTGTGAATTTTTCTTACTATTGAAAACCTATAAACCAAAAGTGGCTATATACTTTTGGAACGCATTAATTTTGAGTAAAGTCAAATATTCCCTAATTTCTATTCGTATATTTTCATAACGCATAAAATAACATTATCAGATCATTAGAATGGGTCTAAAAAATATTTCAAATTAAGCATAACCCATTTAAAAATTGGATTAGCTGGAGATTTTGGAAAAAAATTGGGTGGCTATATACTTTTGGAACGGAGTGTATATCCCAAAAAAATTTTTTAAAAATTGGAAAAAAAATTTTTGAGTCAAAAAAATTTTTTAAAAATTGTAAAAAAATTTCTTTGAGTCAAACAAAAAAATTTTTTTTGGGATCAATTGTCTCTCTTCCAACAATAACTATAAAAAAATTAATTGAGAATCTCTAACTGTCCCCTCTCTCTTTTTTTTGGCATATATTTATTTTTCTAAAAATACCTACATTTTGTTTATTATCTCCTATGGCCTATAATTTAGAAAAAAATTTGAGAAATTTTTTCTATCGACTAAAAAAATTATTTTACCTCCTCTCCTCTAGTATTATATTTAAAATAATATTTTTGTACTCTTCCAAACAACAACAAAAAATACAATATATATTTATTTATCTAAAACTTTTTTTGCTTTTTTTTTAATATTTTGGTTTATTTTTTTTTTGTGTGTAAATTTATGACTATTAAAAATAAAGGAATATTATTAAAAAAAATTTTTTTGAATTTTTAAAATTTGGAAAAAAATTTTGGGACAAAATGTCATCAAAAAAAAATTTTTTTCTATTTTTTAAATAGGGAAAAGGCAGATGATTTTTTAAGATCCTGAGAGCTTCGTTATAAAAATTTTCTAATTCTTAATTGGGAAAATTGGTCTTATAGTGCAGTTTGTTTTAAATGGGAGGGTTGGTGGTGTATCGCTTGGACAACTCTCCCACATCTTGTGGTGGTCTACCAATTCTCTCCAAAATTTTAAAAAATAGAAGAGAAAAAGTCTTATATTGGGAGTATTTTATAAAAAAAAAGTTCGGAAGCAGTCCTGGGAAAATTAAATTAATTAACTAAAAATTGAATAGGTTATGGGACCACACAAAATGCCCAAATACCCAACTCTGGTTTAATTTAAATAAAAAAAAATTCTCCCTGAATTTTTAAATTTGTTATGAATTTTTGTGACGTAAAAAAAGAATTTAAAAAATTAATTTTTTTTAATTTCCAAAAATTTTTCAAATCTATTTCTGATTAAATTTGCATCTGTTAATTTTTAATTTTTTTCAAATTTATTTTTAAAAAATTTATTTTTAAAAAATATTTTTAAAAAATTTTTGGCATGCTAAAAAATGCAAAAAAATTTAATTCCAAGAATAAATCTGTTTTTTTTTTGCATTTTTTGACGTGAAAATAAACCAAAAATAAATAAAATATATAAATTAATTTTTTTATTACATCTGCAAGTAACCAAAATAAATCAAATTAATTTTCAAATTAATTAACTAAAAATGGAAAACATTTACTATGAGGTCATTAATATTATATAAACAAACATTAAGGTATCACGAACAAACTACATTTTTAACAATATATTAAAGTTCAAGGGGAAAAAATAAACTTGTTGTAAATTAATTCTGATTTTTCAGAATTATTAATTCTGATTTTTAAAAAATAAAAATTAAGCTTGTTGTAATTTAATTCTGATTATTTTCAATTAAAAATTCTGATTTTTAAAAGCAAAAATAAACTTGTTTTAAATTAATTCTGAAAGATCAGAATTAAATTATAACAAGTTTATTTAAACTAGAAAAATCAGAATTAATAATTCTGATTTTTTAAAGAAAAATTAAACATGTTTTAATTTAATTCTGATTTTTTAACTAAGGTTTTGAAATTAAACCTAAGGGGTATCGACTTAACTTCTTTTAAAAATCATAACTTTTTGAAATCTTAATCTAAAAAATTTATTTTTATATCCTTTTGTAGCTAAGAATCTCCTCTTTCATTTGATCTATTGATAAATTATGTTGCCTTGATTAACAAAAAGTTATGGGTAAAAAACGTCGTTCTGTTCATTAATCGCCTACAGTTAAAAATTTTAAAAATTTCCAACATTTCTGAAAATCAACCTAAAAATTTTATTTTTACTTCTTCTTATAGTCCAGAATCTCCTCTTTCGAATGGTGGTACATTGTTCACCTCTCTAACTCTTTCCAAACAAAAGTTATTAGCTTTTAATTCCTGGTCATCAAACAATGACCTCACACATACCCCCTCCCTTTCCCTTACAAAATAAAAACAAAAGAAAAATTAAAAAATATTTTTAAATAATTTCCTCAATCATTTTATTGTTCCTTTATCATCCTTTGTCAGAAAATAAAAAAAAATTTGCGTCACAAATCTTTTTTTTCTAATTTTTACCTAAAAGTACAGGCACACCTTTGAAGGAACTACGCAAAGGGAAAGAAGAAAAAAATTATTTTTCTATATTTGTAAAAATAAAAATAAATAAAATAATATTAAATTAATATTAGCAACACAAGATTTTAGTAATTATTTAAGCTAAATAATTTTTGGTAAATTTATGCCATTTTTATTTATTTTTCCAATTCTCCCTTTATTAATATGCCTTGCCTTCTATTTTATTAAAAATAATGTTGGGTAAGTTTAAGCTTTATTTAGAATTGTTTTTGTGTTTAGCTAGTTAGTGGAGAACGCACCTAGCCTAGAAACTTTACTTAAAAAATCAGAATTAAATTAAAACAAGTTTAAGTTTAAAAATCAGAATTAATAATTCTGAAAAATCAGAATTAATTTAAAACAAGTTTAATTATAAAAATCAGAATTATTAATTCTGATTTTCCTAAATTAAATAAGCTTGTTGTAATTTAATTCTGATTATTTTTAATTAAAAATTCTGATTTTTTAGAGCAAAACTAAACTTGTTATAATTTAATTCTGATTTTTCAGAATTAAATTACAGGTTTGTTTATTTTAAAAATCAGAACCATTTTGGGTAGTTGACACTTT